TTCTCTTTTCCTTAGCCTTTGAGAAAAGGCAAACATATCTGTCTATATACCTACCAGGAGAAACGCAAGCTTCTTAGTAACCCAACTGGTGTACCTTGACAAAGCCTGACCATCTAATTTGTGTTTTGACCACCTTTATTTGACCGGTAATGTTTCAACAAAGGAGAGAAGAAATTCAAAGACTGTCTTCATTCGTATCTTGCAAGATTTTCTCACGCCCCTCCAGCGTCCTCCTTTTGCTTATGTAAAAACTGAACCAGAGTCAGCTTTAATCTTTTTCTCCATAATAAATACTCAATTTTATATACATATTAAATACAAAGAAACCCAATACATTTCTAAAAATTCCTCTCCGGGCAGTGTGAAAGAAACCTAATACATTTGTAGCATTACGATGATATAAAAACTGGGTTTGTGTGACTTAAAATGATTAAATTTTGGTTAACAGAATTAAAGAATTTTTATAGCTAGAAATATTTTTTTAAAGAATACCCTGGAGATGATCCTAACTGAGCATTCTCACTTTACACAGAAGTTACCAAGGCCCAGAAAAGCAAAGTGATTTGTCCACTCCCACAGGCCCCTTTTAGAAGCCGCAAGCTACTTTTGCTTTCAGAAGAGTGGTTTGACAGGGCTTGACAAGAAAAGGCACTTATACTCACAGTTCAAAAGTTAGTGACCTAATAGGAGCTACGGCAGAGTAGAAAAATAAAATTGCTATTATCCTCAGTTTTATTTTATGCAAGACTCATACCATCGAGCCCCAAGCTTTAGAGTTCTCTGGGAGACAATGTCATGTTTCTATTACAGAAAAAAATAGAGAAAAGTCAGCTCTGAAAGGAGCCGGTTCAAAAATTCAACTAATGTGCATTTGGGAAATCAAAATATGCTTCTCATATTCAAAGAAAATAATTACGGTTAAAATCAAGTTTGGAGAAGTCTGCTTTTAATAATACGTTCTCTAGAGAATCGTCACTCAAAAAATTAAGAAAATAGATTCAGCCTCAAGTCAAATATTCTCTATACACCATACTGATAAGCCAGGAATTGGG